CTTGTTTGCCAATATAGCAAAGAGTAAAACATGATTGCTTAAAAAATTGAAAATTAATCATTAATGTGGACAATAAAAAAACTCTATGGTAACACTTGTGTTCACTTTACATTTGTTTCTCAAGCAATATGATATTACCTTTATATCTTGAGCATGAACAGCTTTCCCTGTACTTCAGTTAGCTGCCTGTTTTGCTCATTTTGACATTCAGCTGATGCAATTTTGATTGTGGCTCTAAACTTCCTGCTTTGAAATTTATATAGTGCAGATTTTGTCTCATCAACAATGCATCTACTTTCTGTTATTTCATCTCTTCCACTTAGTACCTGTCTCTTATACACATCTAGATGTGTATAAGAGACAGCTTTTACTATGTATGTTGCTGCGACTTGCCGTGCAACTGTGCTGCACTTTTACTACGTATGTTGCTGCGACTTGCCGTGCAACTGTGTCGCACTTTTACTGTGTCTATTGCTGTGACTTGCCGTGCCTGCAGCTCCGTCCCATGATCACAGTAATACTCAGACAAGTAATCTAAATCCTGGAGCTCACATGTATGAATTATAAGTAGAAGTGGCATCATCACGGAAACGCGGTTAGGGTTTGTTGGAGTTCGATTTCCTGAATTTTCAAATTGTTTCCAACAATGTGTGGCTAACGTTATATATTAATCAATATAATATTAATTATTTGTTCAATATTTCCGTCAATAACGTAATAAAATCAGCGAGTGAACTCTCCTGACACTCATGGTAGAAATAGCACCTGGATTCGAGGCGCCTTTTTTTGCTGTAAAGTAACTCAGTAACGGTATTTCTAGACTCATGTCACCGGCCATTCCTAGCTCGTCAAATTCCACGAGACGACGGTTTTGTTGTCCAGTTTGTTAGGTTTATTCCATTGCACTTCAGTTATGGTGCCTATACACGGGTTAAGTATCAGCCAATAGTGGTAGCGGCAAGTATTTTCCACTTCGAATATTGGGCTAAAAATGTAAAGAAACAATAAATTTTCATTTTGAATTCTCAATTTTATCGAAATTAATAAACTTAATGGCTAAAAATCAAAATAAATTACACCAAATTTCGAAGTAAAAATACTTGCCGCCACCACTTTCGACTAATACTTTCCCCGTTTGCACCTTTAGTGAATTCTTCAGGAGTTTTCAGTGTGATATTATAGGTTAGTTTGTCGACGTTATAATTTAATCTCTGCAGACAAATTCCTTCAGTATTTTAGGCCACCTGTCGCTACTATAAGGCGTTGCAGCGTCGCAATATCTGTCGAATTTCTTAATATTCCTGACACATTTTAAAAAATTCCACTTGCAAGGTCGGTTTAAGCAAAACCACATTGTTTTTCATAGCTTGCGCGACGAATTGTAATTGGTTTTCGGCTACAAATGTTTTACTGTGACGAGTTAAAAAAAATTCTTATGTGGTGGATGAAAATTTTACGCTATTTTCGTCACATCGCATGCCTGGCTTTGTTTGGAGTCATTGCGATATCCAGGCTTTGCCTACGCGTCCACGATAAATTTTCTCGCCTTTTTGGCATTGAAATGAAGGAAGAGACGTTTTTAGGAATTTAAAGCGTCGCTCCTGATTTATTACTGAGGCTTAATTGGTGTCGCATAATGTGGTAGCTGCGGCGGCTGGGTTGCATCTCGTAAAAAGCTTCTGCTGTGGCGAGCAAGACTGGCTTACTTCTTGTGCTGGTCGTCGTACCTGGACTCATGCATGGTCTTGTGTCGTTTAGTGGCCTCCGCCACAGCTTTTCGTTCACTTTCCTTATTTATTCCCGAAACATGCCTCATAGTTTTGATTTTTTCTATTTACTGTTGTCGCTAATTGTATTTTGTTACTGAATTATTATTTCAAAGTTTATCCTTCACAGTGCAACCTGACGTACCACGATTGCAATGTTTTATATCCCATAAATTTACCTATGCTGCTGCATTCACTTTCATTACTCCAATTACTTTCTGTGGGTGAAAATCTTGAACAAAGAGTAGTTGAGATATTCGGAAGAATTTTTCAGTAGCCATGCCATTTTTGTTATTCATTTTGATGGCTTCTTAGTCAAGAAATTCTAACACTGATTGAAAAACAGTTGGTATTTATTATTTCTTGCTTGTAACGTTTTCCTGCTGATGTACATAGCTTATTGACGAAAAAAGCTGCCTAAAATCCCTGGCAAATATCGGAACGCGAGACGATCTTCAGATTCCTTATCTTGTGCTTGCTGAGCTGCTTCTTGGACCGCCCGTCCAAAAGTTCGTTCGTCTTTTACGTCAAGTTCGGGTTTCTTTTCCCCATGAATAAATTGTGTGCTGCGGCAACAAATATTCTATCGGTAAACGATATCGAGTGCTGGAAATGGGCACAATTTGAAGAAAATTGTGTGCCCCATTTCTGGGAGGTTTGAGGTTAGGTGACTACTAATATTTTGGAAATAATTTATTACTCAGTATCGTTCAGTTCCGCGAAGTATCTGGGTTTATGATATTATGACTTAACTTAGCAAAGTTATTTCCGAAAAAGACAAGACGAAAAGAGCTACCGTACTCAGTCTTGAGACTTGAATTTAATGGTGCCTGCTCGCTTTTTTCTGAGTGAAGAATACATCACCGATTGCTGGTTTTCATTCAAGTTTCCCTTATTAGTCGCAACTCTTATATTTTGCCTGTTTCTATTTTTCATATTACTTTTCACGTTTACGCATTAGATTCAGTGGCTCTGACCTTTATACCTTTTTGACTCAAGTAAGTTTCGTGTTTATGTCGTCTTATGCACGTTTTCCCGTCGTAGAAACCCTATAATTTTAGTTTATGTAGTGCGTTATCCATCATTGAAAGTGAGTTTCGCAGAGCCAGCCAAGCCGCAGCGTCAATGTAGGGCAGCCGTTAGCGTTCATCCCAGGGCTCGGCAGTAATCGGAGGGCCAATAGGCCACCTGAACCCTCCGAGCCGAGCCAGGCCCGCACCGTCTATTCTTACCGCCGCTTGCGATGTCGCGTTTTTCCTCACGTTGTTACGACATTGAGACCAAAAAATGTTCGTGGACTTGTAGTAATTTCTTTAGGTTCGTCTGCTTAATTGACTCATAAATTAGAACGGAAGGATCGAAGCTAGGATTTAGAAGACGATCCCGTGCATTGGTTTGAATAATTACAATGAAATGCCTCTTTTAATTAACTCGGAGAAGTGAATTGTCATACTTCCTCTGGATAAATTTCAGGGCTTCATATGCGACAATTTTATGCAATGAATTAGATTCGATGTCACACATGTCGAGTTTATTCGTAAAATTATTTAAATCACTCGATGGTCTGTATTCATTTTTCACGACTGTTCTTTACGTTTACGAACTCGTTAACAAGTAAGACTTTTTTTATGCAACGCGCTTGTCACATTGCTTTTCGATAATCAACTGCTCAGTCGCTAAATTTTATATTTGTTCATGAGTAATGAACGTCGTAGTCGTTTAATACGACTTGGATTCGACCAATATTAACGACTGCCACCAATTTCCCGGGACTCTGCAATGTCAGTTGCCGCGTTCCGAGGTTCACTCTGTTTGAGAGGCACTGTCGTCTTCTTATTCAGAGCCTATCAAGGCTTATCAGCTGCTGTCTTTCCACCTGCGCCATCATTGGACGCGGTCACGTGACGTCACTCGTTTCTAATACAATTTAATCATGATGCAAATATTAAAGTATTCAAACCGTGAAGTTTGCAGACCATATGGTAGAGAGATCAATTGTGAGATCAAAATATTGTTTCCTGAACTTCAGAAGTACTGTTATATTTTAGCATTTTTTTTTAAATTACATATTTTACCTGTATAGTACTACATTATAAAGTAAGAATTTTATGCTATTAGGGTTCTGTGTTCAACAATTTCAATGAATAATCTGTCTACTGGCATTCAATGCATTCCATGCCGTTCTTGAGTATTTCTTTCTATTTTTTATTCATGCAGCGAAGCTGCTCGTTTTAAAACTTTTTTTATCAGTTTTTGTCATTTTGTTGTAATGGTTGTTGAACTACTTTATATTCATGATTTTATTGAGCTGCTGCAGCAAGCATCCTGACTATTTTTATTTTCTGTTGTAGATATGTCGCCGCATTATTCGTTTTGTTGTGCGCTGTCTGATGAAATTTGTAAATTGCTCATTTAAATTAAATTGTAAATTGTAAATTGCTCATATCTTTCTTGCTCTGCATTTAATTTGAAATTTCACTAAGCCTGATCGAATTATATATCTCCGTGCTTACATAATTAGTCCTAGTTCATTAATTAATTTTGCCGATTAAGTAAAGTTGAAATGTCGAACCGAATTTCCTGTTTCAATTTTTGTCTCAAAATAAACCCAATTGTTTTATTCATATATGCACTGCATGTTTTAACTGTAATTATTTTCTAACTTCATTAACAGTTAGTCTAACGGTTAGTATTCTAACAGTGAAATTAGCCAGGTCGCACAGATGTGCCTATCCTGTACGATCTGTTCTTTCTTCCCTTGAAGTTAGCTTTGTCCTCTTCAAAATGCACATCCCACCCTAGCAGTTAGCGTCATGCTCTGTATGGAATGCTTCTTCCACCCTGAGAGTAGCGTCATACCCTGTGTGGCTTGCTCCCCCCTCCCTAGCAGTTAGCGTCATGCCTTGTGTGACATGCTACTCCCACCCTAGCAGCTAGCACCATGCCCTGTGTGGCATGCTCCTCCCACCCTAGCAGTTAGCACCATGCCCTGTGTGACATGCTACTCCCACCCTAGCAGCTAGCGTCATGCCCTGTGTGGCATGCTCCTCCCACCCTAGCAGCTAGCACCATGCCCTGTGTGGCATGCTCCTCCCACCCTAGCAGTTAGCGTCATGCCTTGTGTGACATGCTACTCCCACCCTAGCAGCTAGCATCATGCCCTGTGTAGCATGCTTCTCCCACCCTAACATTTAGCGCCATGCCCCGTATGACCGAACGCTGTCTCCTCCACAGAGCGAGGTGCCCTGCCCGTGACTTGCCCCGTCTCCACCACCACCCGCCACCTACCACCACCACCACCAGCCTGCTGCAACCCACCACCAGTTTTGTCACCTGCTGATACGTACAGCAGCAGCCATCATCACCACCCCGGTGTGATTCTCTTAGCGACCGCTGCTCTGGATCCCTCTAGCGTTGTAGCTGCGCCGCTCGTGTCGCTGCAGGCTACTCCACCATCTCCACCCTCCTCCACCACGAGCCCTCCTCACTTGGAACCTTCCCCCAGCCCTCATTTGGATTCTCATCCCTCCATCATCGTCAAATCTTCCTTCCCCTCTTGCTCCTCTATAAGCACGTGTTCCACCACTGCCACCAACCACCATCAAAGTATGGCTGCCATTGAGAAACCCTTAACCGACGGTCTCTCAGCCTCCCTCTCCATGAGACTTCTCATGCAAGGAAAGGTACGTCCCGTTTCTGCTTAAACCTTCTGCTTGTATCTGGGTCTATGACTCCCTAAATATCCTCTTATTGAATTATTAACAAATTTGCCGATTGCCGACCATGTTTCTACCGCTGCCCGAGTTACTCTGGGCCTATACTTTCAAAAAAAAGTTAAGAGATAGTAAGTTCATCTGCCAATCATTGACGGCCTTTCAAGCCCAATCCACCAATCATAGACAAGAAAATAGAGCGTAAGTACTGACGTTCACTTAGCGAGTTTTGAAAGTATGGGCCCTGATCAATAGGCAATTAATCCCTAATATTTTCTTTCCTTGAACGTTCACACTATAATTTCAATCGGAGTTACCAAATTTCAAGTCAATTAAGAGTAGTTGAAATTTTCACGGTCATGGTGTGTTGCTCTGCGCTGGCGAGTTTGCGATGCAGATACTCAAATTCAAATTGCTATTCATATCAAAAGATGAATTTCATCTAAATCTTTTAATCGTATCCTATCAATTTTGGCTCTACGTTCTTTTACAGTCCTGGAAACTGTTGGATGAGTACCTTGACTTGTGAACCTTACCAATTTCTTTGCAATATTATAGACTGGTGTATGGCTGAGCTATACCTATATTGTGAACGTTCTTATTCCTTATTGTAATTTCTTGTAAATGCGCCTTTCCGTAATGAATCAAAAGCTTTTATCATTAATAATGTAACACGCCTAACTGAATTCTGTAATCTGCCTAATTATTGATGGGCCGAACTTTCAGTTTTAAACTTTCGCCCACACTGGCACGTAGGAAATAGAATTGAGTAATTTCACGTCGTAAAATACATGTGGCGTCACCAATATGGTGCCACAGAGATCGATCCAGCCTCACGTCAAACTGAGCTTCATCAGACCCGCCGAAACGCAGGAGTGACGGCACATAAAAATTTCGATGTACTTGAATTGTTCATTAGTAAATCAAGTATATTAAATTTCATCATGTATTGTCCCAATTAATATTTGCATTACTTCTGTCTTTTTCAAGACTTTTTATTTATTTTTTCATGTATTTTAATTACTTCTTCATAACTAAACATAGAAGTTAGCCTATGTCTGTTGGTACCCTTTGGTATGAATAAAGATATCAATGTTGTCAAATATATCATTATTTAACGCCCGGCGTTAAAAATGTGACGACTGATTTTTCTACCCACTTAACTTGAACGATTTATTGTCAGTAAATGGCGTGATGAATATATGCGTCACTGCTGCTGTCTTTGGCCTTCTCTCTCTGTTTAAATGCTCTTCCTCGTTACACTTTGATCGACCTACCTCTCACTGGAATTCACTCTTGCTTCTATTATTAAGAACCTCCTATAACCCTGCAATTATTGAAAGTGTCCGCTCCCTTTGAATCCTAAAATTGTAAAATGATTCTTTGAAAGTAGGAGTAGGAATTCATAGGAAGGAGGAGAAACTCTCATGGTAGATGTAACTCTTGTAAAAAAAATTCATATTATGTTGATTTCATCACGGCCGGCAAGTGCTTTCTCTACATTCGCAGGTAAGTGATACATTTTCAAATACAGATTGTGCCGTAAAATCTTGTGTAATCGTCGGTAAATATTATTTCTTTCCAATTAACGCGAATAAAATCTTCCTTAGAGAAATTAATTAAGACGCAAATGATCATAGATCGGCTTCAAAGCGCAATTACAGCGTTTGAACGAAGAACGCATACCCAGTCCTAGAAAGGCATCAGTATGAAATGAGGTTGAATGATTTTCTAGAAAATATTTAATTCCATCTAGTACTACCTAATAAAATTTGACATCTCTCTTTGTTGCCAGAGAATGTAATTATTTTCGAATATTTGCTGAGCATTGAGGCTGCAGTCAAGGTTTACGCTCTTAATTCCAGAACTGGAGTGCCTTCAAGTCATTATTAGAAAGCGGTCTCGTGTCTCTAATGACGAACGAATAATTTCACACTGATGTTAATATATCGTCGATATTGGTGTTCTGATCTACGGATTATGATCCTAATACTTCAATTACTACACGTTTTGATGAGCGCAGAGTTGGTCGGTCTCAGCCCTCGCTCAGTGTAACTCCTTCCTCCCTGCGCGAGTTGTTTCTTCTAATGAACGCATTTAATGATCAGTATTATGATGCTTGTAATGGTGTTCCTTATGGCTATGCCGTGTTGCTACTCGCAGGCCATTTAAAATTAATTGAATATGTACTGAAGATCATTATTATTCTATATACATTATTTTCATGTCAGTCTGATTTCTTGACTAAACTACCGGTACCTCGTAAACATAAATAAAATTTTCGTAGGAATCAAAATCCCTTTTTCTCATACAATATTTATTCTAGGAAATTAACAAACTCCATTTGCTGATTGCAAACCAGTTTTCGTTTTGTGACTTTGAATTGATGAAAGTTTTTTCTTTGATTCGTTGGTGAGGAGAAGACTCCCAGTGATTACAATCCAGGCTATTGGATGCCCCGATAAAATTCTGATCGAGCTGCTTTGATCGCGTGAGATGTTGTCTCCAAATGTTGTCAAGGACGATTCTTTGTAACTTGTAGAACTCACTCGCGATGTTCGCTTTTGAAAGCTGCGATTAGCACGCATTCCTGAGGAATGCTCTGTCTGTTGCTGCTCAAGTCAATTTGATTGGATAACGATAAACTAATGTTGTTTGGCTTCGACATCGTTTCGGTTTCACAAGATATTCAGTCAAGCCATTGTCCTTTTATTGCCAAATAGGAACAAGTCTTCAGCTGTTCTAGTTATATTTTCAAATTTTTTTGTTATTTTTTCGCTGGCTTGCGTCGTCTGTCTTCGAAAGTTGAGGTTGCGGAAAATACGGAATTATAGGTATATGCAAATACTGTCAATTTTATTCCGAATCGCCGAATGAATGAATTGGTTTATTATTTTTTACGTCTTGCTTAGTTTTTGAAGCGCCGTCAATTAGTGGCTAATTCTATAGGCCTGTAGGAACTGTTGGCATTCTGCAGCATCTGTTAGTAATCAGCAAATAATGTTGATTTTGATGCGCCTTTTTCTGGTCTTCTTCAAAGTGACAAATCGTTAGTTGCTCACTTTCCCAAGCCAACTCTTCTTTTGTAACTTCTCATAGCTACTCTTGCCTTGTAACATGTTTGTTTCGTTATCTCCTTCTTGTTAACAGTTCTTTTTTTGACACCCTCCTTATTTCCGACGGTTCTTAAGTTCCGGCCCTTCCTTTCGTTTCCTGCATTGGTTCTGCTTAATTAATAGACGCGTGCTCATTGTATTCATTAAACCTGTAGCTCAAGCTCATGGCGTTAACCTAACCTCTAAAATTTCATTCATTTAAGCTATTACTTCTGCTAACCCTAACGACAAAAGCTTTTAATCCAGCAACTTTCCCTGATTAAAGTCGTTACTACTACTAATGTCAATGATCGAATCAATTAACTCCTCAGCGTCGTTGATTTAGTCCATCACAGTGTGAGTATTAATCATTTTGTTCTCAGTCGGGAACACGCGTGTCACTCACACCACACCTCGTTTGTTAAGCCTATCTTCCTTCGCGAATTGCGCTTAGGAAATCCATTTCCAGTGAATAGAATTAGTTTCTCCTTAGATTTCTCCTGACTGTTCGATTAATTATTTTGCACATTTGTGTAGTTGCTATCGGACTCCTGTTTGGACGGCAGTCAGACCGTTCCGCTAAGTGGTTCTCAGAGCTCTCGTGAATCTCACTCACTGGATACGCTGCTGCCGACAGAGCGTCCAGTATTGCCTGCATGGAGTTAGCTCATCTCTCAAGTCACGCCTCATTGCTCCGGTCTAGCCGCTACTCACTCCGAGTTCTACATGATTCAAGTCATTACTCACTCTCGTGAGCAGGGCTTCTCACGCTCAACCCCTGCTCAGCGATCGCTGCTCATTACTGCAGCGGCCGTGAGCGCTGTTAATCATGAGCCATGTCGTCTACTGATGAACCATTCAAAATTATGCTCAATGTCATTCTGCTCACGCACGTGTTGTTCTCTCTCGTACGATTAGAACTCCTAATGCTCACTCTCTTGCAGCGTGCACTCGTCCGGATAGTGTGAGATTTCATTATAGTTTGCATTTTTGGAGTTTGTAAGTTCTATTTTATGTTAAATATTTTGGTATTTATTTTTGGTAACGATTTATTCGTGAGTTTCAAATTTTCCAGTGCAACGCGTTTTCGTAGCTAATTTACCGCCAGTGGCTCTTCTTTCGATTCGAAATAGATTTTCACAATGTCAAATTTGTAAATCTGATGGCAAAATTTAACATTAAAAGCTACGATAATTAATTCGATGGTCATCTTTTGGGGGCTTGAAGATTTGATTGAAACGAATAAAATAATTTTGTCAATCAGATTTGTATCATTGACGACTGACAAATTATCATATTAAAATCTTTTGGAAGCAGATCAATCAGAACAGTTTAACTTGTTGCGAACACCGGGATTGTGAACTGAGGCCAGGTAGATCCTGCGTAGCCATACAAGATTAAACTGAACAGATAACACTCACTGCTTCTACTCGTGCAGCTCGCGCTCATACAGATAGCACTCACTGCTCACACTCGTGCAGCTCGCGCTCATACAGATAACACTCACTGCTCACACTCGTGCAGCTCGCGCTCATACAGATAGCACTCACTGCTCACACTCGTGCAGCTCGCGCTCATACAGATAGCACTCACTGCTCACACTCGTGCAGCTCGTTGCACACTTCAGCAATTACATTGCCGCGGAAAATTCGCCGAAGCTTTTATTAGCTAGTCGGGGCCTCAAATTGGTGCGGCTCCTATCTACTAAAATTTTGCATCTGGTGCAAAATTGAGCGGTGGTTTTTCTGTTCTGATTTTCATGACCGATGGCGGCGGTCTCGCCCGTGTTGCTGCCGACACCGGCAGTGCTGATGCGACGTAATTGTGTTGCGTCCGTTGCTTCTGTTCTGCCGCGTTGCCCCACCAGATGATGCT